TTTAACTGCAATCTCTGCAATTAAACAGCATTCAGGTGGACACATAAAAAAAAAGACAACACAAGAATCATGATTAGAAGAGAACAGACCAACTTTTAGAGGAATTAAAAGCAGAAATGTGAAGCTTATAATTTTATAAAAGGACTTGCAACATTTTTGTTAAAACTTGTGTATTATTTGAGCTGTAAAGCAGTTTAAATAATCACATAAGTCATTTTAAGGTTTATGCAGTCATGACCACCAATCTGTGAAATTGAAAACTTTACAAGGAAAAGGTGAGTTAGTGAGTTTTTTAATGCTAAAATCATCATCATGTGGCTGTACTATTAAAATGGTGTATATTTTAAAAAGTTTAGATTGGCACCATTTAATAAAGAAGTTGAGGGTCAATTAAACAAAATTTTGTGATAATCAGCATTATGACACAACTGCTGTCAATTGAACTTGTACTGAGCCCAGAATATTCCTTTAAGTGATTGGAAGGTCTCCCTCCCTGCTGGAAGATTGTCTGCTCAAACACTGGCTGTGAGATAAGTAAATATGTGTGAAACATCTGCTCTCTCTGCATTCAGATCTCTCCGTTTGCTCTCATTCCCCTCGATCAGCTGATTTTATTCCTCCCGACTCATCTTCATCAACTGTAGTTGCCATAGAGCCAATGACAAAGACAAACGTAATGTGATTTCTCTCTCTCAGCACAAAGAGCAATAGCAGATGTTGTGCACACAGTCCCACACGATGCTTAAACAGCTATTCAAAGCCATAAGACGAAGAAAAACATAACAGGATCGATCTAATACTATAAAAATGACAGAAAAGAGAAAAAGGGACAGATTGAGCAAGAATAAGAATCTTATTCAGAAAACTTCTTGAAACTGCTCTTATGCAATTCCTATTGCAGGCTGTGACCAATCCTTCTGTTTAAATATCAGCCAATTAGTGTTTCGGGTCGTCTAGTCCCACTCAGAGGTGCATATCTGCAGCTAGCCCCCTCATTTCCATCTCAGTCTGACAGTCAGAGGTCTGTGCGAGGTGTACAGGACAAACAGCGCAGAGGCATCCTGCCGAGAATCCATGCACAAGACTGCCCTGTGACTCGTTACCAACATAAAGGATGAAAATAATGGGGCACATTTACAATCTGTCTCCCATAGAGGAAAGACCGAGGTTAGTTGTCACATGTAACTCAGTAACTATAAAGTTTTGAATAAAGATTCCAAATTCTTTTTCTAATAGTTGTCTTGTATGTTGGTTTCAAACACCTAATCCAAAACAAATTGGAACAATTCCAATGTCATCATATTTTAGTTTGAACAAAACATAAATTCATGCAGAAGTCAATCATACAATGAGATTTCAACCAAGAGGTTGAACGGTGTTCTCAGAATAAGGACATTTTTCATAAATATTAGGTTGAACAGCTTTTTATTTTATTCAATTTTTATTCAAATTTTATAAAAAATGTATTCCTTAAAATCAATAACTGTGGAAATATTCAATATCTTTGTTCAATATATTTGGTAGCTAACACTTTAATGCATGTACCTACACAAAAAGTGTGACAACTAGCCCCTCAAATGTTCAATTATGGGTTCAAAATCATTGTGCTCTTTTAGGAGGTTTGACATTATGAGTTCCATACAGAGATTTATTTTTTATTTTTTTGGCAAGACTGATGGAACGGAACAGAATAATATGAGCCGTAAAGAATGCATTAAAACAGAATGTCTTTTAGCCAAAACAATACTATTAAGCTGAATTAAAACTACAAATCTCCAGCAGTTAGCAACTTAGATTGGGTCAATTGTTTCAATACAAACATATTTTTTGTTAAACACAACATTGGCATAGATATGGTCACCCTGGTGGCTGGTATGTCTGGGTGAGACTCCATCACTCTGCAGGCATATGGGGGGCATGGAGTCTACTGGCTGGATTTAGACACTAGAAGGCTCTTCTCGTGTCAATGATAACACTTCTGGTTTCCCCTGTTGGCTGCATGTTTACTTAACTCAGGGGTGCTCCACAGCAAGACCCCCAACACTCCATGTGGGGGGCGACTAGGATGGGGCAAGATCTGAGGATGACCTGACACCTCTTGTAAATGGAACTTCCCTCATTACAGCCAGATGATAATAAAAAGGGTTAATGAGCTTTAATCCAAAATTACTTAATGAATATTCTTATTTCATGGCTTTGAAACGCTCTATTGTAAGTAATGAGGTTCTAATAGTTTAAGATGATTTTAACATCTTTTTTTAACAAATGAAATCTTGAAGATACAATGCTTGTAGACAGCACATTCAGAAAAAGTAGTTTAAGAGTTCATTCTGGTGACCCACTTCAGTACAATCACTTCATTCCACTTCCAAAAATAAAAAAAGGTTATATTGTTTCTATGCAAACTAAACCATATTACCATCGCAAAGCAAATCCATCTGCTATTATTCAAGAACACAAGGCCGGTCTACAAACCAAACACAATAATGCCTTAAACATTTCTGACAGCTTCCTTAAAATATGTATAAACTTATAAATATGTTTTGATATGTAGAGATTGTATTATTTATGAGTGGACTACACTGTAAAAAAAAGTTTTTCGACTTGGAGTACATTTTACAAGAAAAATACAATTTCAGTTTTTCTAATTCAATACATTTTATTCAGTGTGTTACTTGCCATTCATTTGTACTTTTTTGAGTGAAATTTGAGCAAATTCTGAGTGAAAATTTGTGTACACCTTTTTTTTAATGTAGTTAATTAAAACAAAATAACTACACTACACTATATACATCCTTTTCGAACTGATTATACTAATTAAAAGATTATACTGGATGATATGGCCCTAACTGTTTACGAGACACAATTTGGACTGATTTACACGTACTAAAAGCATACAAATAACCAACAGGTGGGTAAAAGGTGGAATATGTTGTTAAAAAGTGAGACTAGAAAAACAAAGCAGGCTCATTCAGAATTACAAAATACTTTGTTTCCATTTGGATCTTCCCTTCAGATGCTGACTGAGCATTAAAGGTGCAATAGGTGATTGTTTTTTGTTATGCTGGTTGAAAGTCTCTTCACATCCCGATAGCAATCATTAAGTTAAGTGATCTAAATGTATTTATATATTCTGTGGAAGGCGTACGACCAAGAAATGTTCGTCCAATCAAAACGCTCGGTCTGAGCGTTTTAATTGGCTTTCCTACCTGCCTGTCAACATATGTATTAGCATACCTCTGCGCACCCTGTTCATGCAGACAGGTTACGTGATTGGCCAGCTATCCAGTGCGTTGTGATTGGCCGAATTCCTCAAGTGTGTGACGGAAATGTTACGTCCCTACCATATTGTGATGCCTGCGGCAACCACATGTGATGATGCCGGGCTGGACTCCGCTTCGTCCACAGTGAAAGCCGATCCGGCGATCGAAAGCGCAAAGTTGATGTATTTCCTCAGCAACCAGCATGGCTCAGCTCCAGGCATGACGAAGCAGATATCGTCCTCTTTTGGAAGGCCAAACAAAGTAGTTTCGCTTTCACAACGAAACACACAGCGACTTCACGACATGACAGCGGCAGCAACAATACTACAGCGAGAATACAAGTTACACCTTCTTTCTTTGTGTGAACATTTGGGCGGCATTATGCAAATCTTCCCACATCGTGACGTAGACATGTGGGGGCGTGTTAGAACGAGCTGTTTTGGTTAGGCGTGGTTGGCTCTTAACTTTTATAAAGAATATCTCTTTGGATTTGAGACTTTAGTCTTTGCAACTTTACAGATCTTCTTTATGCACCAAGAGCTTGTAACACTCCAAAGAGAAAGGAAAAATTGAAATCGCATCATATGACCCCTTTAAGAAATGCAATGCATATGAATGACTATTCTTTTATGATGAATATGTTTTCAATTTCTGAATAATTTTTGTTGGATTTATGTAAAAATGTCTAGACGGTTCAGCTAAGAGGCTGTAAAAAACAAATCTATTAAAAGACTGAAATTCTTTACAAATTTGGCATAACTAGTGTGACCATGTTTTATTATTATGGAAAAATAAGCACTGAAGCAAAACTGTGCAAAAATATTATTAAATAAAAAATAAATAAAAACACCAAATCAAAGTCATTGTGTAACCATCACATTGTGTAACCAACACATAAAGCATTCTGATGTTGAATCAAATTTTTCTTGAAATGTTTTAAATGTTACATTTCTAAAACTTGACATGTTTTGAACTATACTTATAAAATGTTTTATAAATGCATGCTCATGTCATGGGTCACAATATTCATCACCAAACTTCAAATATGACATAAATCAAGAATAAAAAAGAACTGCTTCATTGAAAAAGTGAGTACTTTAATTTGGTTCCAGAAATGTAATAGCGGTTATCTGTAGGCCTACTGCCAATAGCTGACAAATCATCGTGGGAACACCCACTTTCTCATTTTGAAGGTGGGGGGATCATTGGGGGTGTCTGGAGTAGAGCCTGTGCGTAGATTTAACTCAGAGACGCAGTTGCTGCTGTCACAGTTTCTCCTGGATTCTAAATTGTGCGGATCTCTTCTTCACACTGCAAACATGGATCTGAAACTGATCGTAATATTCGCTCTGATGGTGGTCGTCATTCATGCACCGGTTTCAAGTGGTGAGTTATTGTTTAACAGATACTTTGCAAATGTTTACATTATTTTTGCACTGTGCATAAAGCTTAGATGCATGTTTGGTACACTATTTATGGCGAGATTGCAATCCGTTCATGAAAGACATTCGCAAATACATTTGCAACTATTGCAAACTTCAAAATATTAATGGGTTTTACGTTAACGTGCACCTGTGTGTGAAACGACGTGTATTTCATTGCATTTACGCATTTATATTTAAAGTGTTTATTAAACTCAAAACGGTTTTATTTATTAGAAATGTAATACCCTACGAGTTTTTGTTTCTAAAACTCACGTGGGTCATTCGCACCAGTTGGTTTTAGATTTTAATTGCATGTAATGTACGTGATTTTCCACATATTCCGGATAACAAACTGACACGCATGCGGTCAGGAGGGCAGGAAAGCTTCTAGCACGGCGTTGATTAATGTGTGTATTTGTCGCCCTCTTTGCTTTCTCTTAATTACCCACAAATTAGAGGATAAAACAGAACCGCAGAGATAGCGCCAGTCTTTACTTCAATCGAGCCAGTGCGCGCGGCTCTAACTATGGCTCGAGCGTTTACATGACAATAAGAATAGATTACTAGAGATGTCTTTAGCATTTTACAAGTGGACTAACGTGGATAGAGCTCCGTTAAGTCGCAGGTACTTCACACCTCTGGGGGCTTGTGAGTGGGCAATGTCCGTTAAAGTATTTGCGTACGTGCGCCGTACAATCTTCACATACAATGTAAAGCTGCTCGAGCTGTGAAGTCTCTGCTTCCTTGAGCGCTAACAGCTCTGAACCAAATGGAACAATAATCCCCGCGCTGCCATAACAACTCGCTCGCTTTAATGTGCACAAATGTGAAAGCTATTGAAATAAAGTATTTACATGCGCGCATACAGCCAGTTTAATCTGCATTTAGTTAAAAATAAAAATAAAGTATTAAAGTATCAGTGCACTAAGCATTTCTCATCAAATGTAATCACTTGAATTGCTTAATAAATGCACTCTCAAATGTCTCAGTATATACAGTTACCCCAGTTTATACCTTATAATATTATAAACTGAATTTAGAAAGCATATTTATTTACCATTAAAATGTAAAGAACACAAACAATATCACAGCTCTATTATATAATTGAATTTGAGTTGCTAAAAATGATCAAATAAATCTCTTGTTTTGTAAGTTTTCATAGAAAAGCCATTAGAGGACAACGCATCTTCAGTGTGTCAGCAAATTGTGCTGGTTGTTATTAGAGTGTTGCAATAGTGTCTTTGGAGCTAGAATGATTACATAACGGATTTTAAAAATTAACCAACTCTTTTAAGTTTCATTTTTAGTTAAGGATGCTGTTTTCTTTTACAAAGCACATCTGTGGTCTGATCTCAATTAAAATACCAGGCAAAAGTGATTTGCGTTTGTGTACTTTCTCATCAAACTTCATTATTCATCATGATTTTGTCCAATGCTCACATGCACCGAATTAAAAGCATCACAGCAACACCAGAATTGAGTTTCTCTTTCCTTTTTCTCTTAATTCTTCTCCAGCCAAGCCCATTAGCCTGGTAGAGAGATGCTGGTGCCGTTCCACAGTCAACACAGTCCCACAGAGAAGCATTCGCGAGCTCAAGTTCCTCCACACACCAAACTGCCCCTTCCAAGTCATGTGAGTATCTACACTAAACTGTCTCTTTCCGACTCGCTCAGCAGCTCTGCCTCTGATGAGGTGTCTGCCTGATCCAGAAACACATCACTTCACCCCATCAATCTCCAAATACTGAAGGGACACTGAATGGGGCAGGAATTGGTCTCCCCTGTCTGGCATTATACTGTTGGACAGGCTCTCACAATTGCACACATCCAGAGGGAAATGCTATAGGAGGGGGTAGGACCTTTAAGCATGGATGCATTTGTATTTTGTACAGGAAAACAGCATCATAGGGGTCCGAAAGAGTTCCTCTTCAAGCTGTTTCTCACACATGTAAAGGACTTAAATTATGTGCTTAGTCACACACCATAGCCTTGCATGCTGATGAGAACTATCCTCCCTGTATGTTTTCACCTCTGTTGAGTGAAGTGTTCAAAACAGCTGCTATATTTGGATTTTTAACAAAGATTAATGGCAGTGCTGTGTCAAATTCCATTACAAACCTTGCTTATTTTCCGTACCATTAATGCTCACCAAGGTGTAAACAAAGACTTAAACTGTGTCAAATGGTCAGCGAAATAAAACAGCTGGTCATACTCAAAATTCACAAAACGGCCAACGATTGACACAAAAGCCAAAGGCAAAGCCCTGGAGAGTAGATCAGAACCTGATTCCCAGAGCTCAAGAGCCCTTGATACTTCAAATCTGCATTGATGAGTGATGCTGGTAACACTATCTACCAGTGTTTGCTGTTGGCCTTGGCTTGCTGTGAAGTAATTACTACCTGCTGTTCGCAGTCCAGACCCTCTCAAACTCCTGCTGACTAGATCGAGATAGAGCAACAAATGCCAGGCCCTGATAAACTGCTGCTACTTCAAAAGAGTCAGCTAACCAAATTAGAGGAGATCCGTGAATTAGAGATAAGAACTGATTACTTTAAATGATACAGATATGATGATGGTGGACACATTCTTTAAAAGCTAACCTCGTCTCTGAACAATGTTCTCATCTTCATGAAATTTTCAAAGATTTATATTATGTAGTGCCATTAGTTTGTGGGACCTTTAGGAATGTTTTACTCACAGGATTATGAGAAGGACAACAAATAACAGCTGCAAGTTCAGCAGAACATTTGAGTATGTGACGCGCTATGATATTTGCCAGAAACCCCAGGTTTATAGATAATAATTTCTTAGAAAGAATTTATAGCAACAACACACATAACCAACGCAGACCCAAAATTGTAATAATAATAATAATAATAATAAATTATTATTATTCTATTCAACAACAATGATTTTCTTTAAAAAAGTAATAACTGATTTTCATTATTGAAATACAAATACAATCTTGTAGTACTAAAATATAAATTTTTATATTAAGCAATGTCAAGCTTAACTTGATTTGATCTTATATTGCTAAAACATTTTTACTGTTATGTTTTATTATTAAAACCCAAAAATTACATTTGAACCTGATTCGGTTTTACTTTACATAGGAAAGAGTTTAATGATTTGTTTGTGTCAGTTGTAGCCAATTGAAAACAAATGGTTCACCTGTGCTGACAAGACACCTACAATCTAATCTTTTTGCTGAGAGCTACAAGGAAGAGTGTGATAACAATCTGACAATCTGTTAAGACCTGTAGGGAAGACGGGAACGCAAATGCGGAAAAAGAGTACTTAGGGTGATGAGAGATTGCAGTGTAATATCACTTACTAGAGAGAGGAGTGACTGAGAACTAACTGCTTGGCTGAGCTTGAATGCACAACTGTTCTGCTATTGTATGGCTGATGCTGACTATGGAGTTTCTATTGTACTGCATTCAAAATCTACTCACAATGGGCCCTTGTAGCTTTATACTTAGTAATGATTGATTTCTTATACTGCAATCTGAATGTCTAAAAAGTTCAAAATTCAGCACCAAGATATCATATCTATATATTCAAATAACATATAATGAAAACTTGCATTTTTCCCCTGCAGTGCCAAACTGAAGAACAACAAGGAGGTGTGCATTAACCCAGAGACCAAATGGCTGCAACAGTACCTGAGGAATGCCATGAACAAGTAAGGAAACCCTCTTGACAAATAGGAGTGGAGAAATGGGAGAAACGGGATAGGAAATACAGGGTCTTGTTCTCAAATGCACCATGAATGGCCTTACAGAGTCACTTTTATTCCAGTTAACCAAACTATAATTAATTTATCCCAGATGAAATGGTGCACTGCATCAAATATAGTTTATGTAATAGTCTCTGCTGACAAAAAGTCACCCATACATTAAAACACTGGTCTTTCTCGTTTCTCACATATCTCTACATGCTCACGAAAGCCATTTCCAGTTTGTTTCTCAGATTTCTTTTGATTGTTTCGGTCCGCTTATAGTGCTCTGAAATATTTATCTTAAGTTGATGTGCAAGATTAGCAGCTACTGCCGAGCAAATGAAAAACATGTTCGGGCTTTGTGGCCTTGCCTTAATAGTTGCTCCGCTGATCTTTATCGTAAACGTCTAAACAAAGCAAAACAAGCTTTTGTTGTCCTGAATCATGAGAAGACATTTTCCCACATCTGATCATGAGCTTGATGTATTAGATCAGGGGACTGGTTGCCTTCTTCTTTCATTTCACTGCCAGCTGTAAGATTGTCATGCTCACTCATTGAATTTGGGGTGGCCAATATAAAAGGACTTATGGATGTATGGCAAACCAGTAGCTGGTACCATTATTGGTGTGTTTGTACCTGTTAAACAGTAATCACTGTCTAAGGGACAGAAAAGTGTAAACTGTCCGGTCTGCACAACAAAACACTCATAGCCAGAGATGAATGATGGCTCCTTGGGGCTGAACACTCATGAATGGCCGTTAGATGCTAATGAGCACATACTGTGCGGTCATAAGTACAGCTCAATAAGGGAAAAAGGAAGTTGTACATCTGCAGGTAGTGAGGGAGGTTGCTGCCATCTGCAACACCTCTGGTCAGTGAGCCACAGAACAGATCCATCAGCTTAGACATTCTGGTCATGTGACTCATATAAACTTGAAAAAAAAGTTGAAGTGTGTAATTTAAAAAAACACACCCGTCAAACCTAACATACTGAGACAACTGTAAGTAAGCCTTTTTAGGCCAATCATTATTCAGTTTGGTGACATAAGTGGCTCAAACATTACACGCTACTCATTGAAAATAGAGGATTTTTCATGGTTTCTGGGTGTTTTTTTTTTGTTTTTTTTTAACAAATTGCAGCTTCAGCACAATTAAAGCTAACAGCATGCAGTTACTAATAGAAATTGCCTATAAAAGTACAGAAATGTCGGTTACATTCTTGCCAGAAGCAAAATTTTGGTTTATTGTTGTAATCACTGTGGAGATTCAGGCTATTTAAAAATGTCCTGCATCTCTTAACAAGTTATGAACACATTTAGTTAAAATAAATAGTCATTACATTCTCCAGCATTACGGTATAACAGTTTTCTCATTCTGATGTTTTGCTTCTCTTCACTGCAGAATGAAAAAAGCCCAACAACAGCAAAGCTAAGAAGTCTGCCAGATGACAAGAGAATCTGACACAGCCCACCGTCACAGATATGTATCATATAGTCCTCTGGCATGCTCGCTGACCCAGCACTTAACCTGCCAAATATGCATCCCCAGTAAATGACCACCAGACCATCATCACCACCCATGTAGTCTCCTCTGTTAGCGCCAAGTGCAATTATATATGTATGACTGTGTTTTTTTACGTATGATATGTATATACAATGTTTTTATATATCGTCTTAAAAACAGTAAAGAGATATTTTTGGAGTCGTGTTTGCTCCGTGTTTGTTGTGTTATGATGGGTTAGGCAGAACTGAGATACTGAGGTATTTTGGAGCAAACATTCAAAACTCTGAAATATATTTTAATCTCAGATGTAAAAGAATATGTGACTTCACATTAGCAGGACTGAAGTTCTTTCAACTCATATGCATGCAAGTGCTTTGACAGAAAAATAAGGGCATTGATTTTCAACTATTTCGTTATGTATTTTACTAGTTCATAACTTAGATATCTGTAACAGCATAAACTGCATGTAAAAGTTATATGGCATATAAAAAAAGAGTCACTTGTTTTTGTTCTTGGAAAGGCAGGGTTACTTTGCAAAACAAACATGAACAATTACCCAAATAGTTTTTGAATGACTTTATGTAATAGGCTTAATGGAAGGCATTCGAACACCAATAGAAAGTCTTTTGCAATGTTCTGTAGATACCAAAACATCTGTGCTTGCAAATGTTAATTGACAGATCAGAGTGTGCGTAAGGAGCTTGGTGTCACAACATACTAAATGTTGCTCCACGTTCAGCAGAATTATGTCATGAACAGCGATATTATAGACATCGGTTAACAAAGAAAAAAGAGGTTAGTGAATTTAAAGCAGTGTTCTGCAAGTACTAATGAGTCAATTAATTCATTCAATGATGAAAAACTGAATTGAAAGCATGGTAGGCATGATAATCTTTAAAAAAAAAACAGCAGTGTTAGTGGAACATCTGAGGTAGACCTTGAGGCAGAACTAATTGATGAAATGACTACCTATATATAACAATGCACTTTATAACCCCTTGTGACATTGACAGAAAAAAAAAGATTCTGAATGACGCCCATTACACAGTGAATAGTTCTAGTGCCTAATGTTTTCTGTGTTTAGACGTAGTTATGACTGTATTGCTGTAAATGTATTAAACATCTGTATCTTCAGCATCATATATTTTTTTTTATTTTGAGTGGGTTTATTTGATATTTTTTTGGAATATTTGACAACTATGTTTAAGAACAGTCAGATTGATTGTTCAGTTAAACATCAACAGCAGCTGAATAACTGATATGTATAATAATAAATGTCAATAGATACATTTAAAAAAACTAAAACAATTTATAAATATCTGATTTTGAAATCGAGGCACAAAAAAACTTAACCAGAAAAGACATCTCAAAAGTGTGTCTCATGTTACCCTTGGACAACTGTTTTGTCTAGGAATACACATAATGTGAACACCAAACATATAGGAAAGTATGTCAATGACTTGTACCTCTCCAAAGAAAATTAGTGTATGGAATTTGTTACATTACTACCAATTTCATAATGTTGAGCCGTTAAAAGAACCAGACCTCACAAACACAACCCTGAGGCACAAAATCTATAAGGAAACATAATGCCTCTATATACTCTGTGCCTCCACAGGAGTCTGTGTACAGGATGAGGGGTTATAGCCCCCCCGCCAGTACAGTACATCTTGCACTCTTTGAAAAGGGCTATTTCAGAATGTGGTTAAAGCCATATTATTAATGAATATTTTTCAACATTTAGAAAATGTTCTCACTCAAAATGTCCCAATACGGTGATGCCAATAAATAAACCATTTCCAGGATTAAATGGAAAAACTAAGGGTAGCTATTATATATATATATATATATATATATATATATATATATATATATATATATATATATATATATATTCCATCAAATTGCCAATATTCTCAACACTATAACATAAGTAACTGTAGCATATACCGTCCTTCCACTCATTTTTCCCACTTAATGTGAAGATTACTTCTGTGTGAATGGCAGCTTAAAGCACATCTGTTGTTCTTTCTTTTGTAAGTTTGTATATTGACTTGATTTAATCCCTTACATGTTGATTTTGAAATAAATCATTATAAAGAATTCTGTTTGAAGTTTTACTAAAGGATGCGTATGAACATCAGTCATGTTAACTGTTATTTGTTTCACACCAAGAGAAAAAAGGGTCACCTGCTGTCACCTATATGTCTCCAATAATTAGAATCTAGATGTTAAATGAGGAAAAGGGAAATTAAGATTTTAAATGAGAATTGCAGGAAGACTCAAAATTCACACCTTGAATTCACACAGCTCTTATAAATAATCCTGGCAGCACTTTTTAGATTTACATGAGACACTGAATGACTTTTCACCTGTCCAAACATCCACTGAGGTTTGGTGTAAAATAAAATATTTGCCTTGTACATTTTATAAGGTGTCATATTCAATTTCCCTTAAAAACGGAAAAAGAAACCCAATAAAAACCAAACTGTACCCTTACTCTCAGAAGAAATAATCTCATGCACAGCAGGGGAAATTCAGTCATATTACAACTTAGTATAGCTGTCAAAATCAATATTCACAAATAAGGGCAAAATAAACTAATATTGCTAGTCATAAAATCTGGTACATAGCTGTTATGGAAGACGTATGCTCTGATATGGTGCAACAGAGATTAAATCAAGTTTATATTTGAGGTACTAATTCAAAACAGAAATTTAACTGACAATAGAATAGCATAAAAGTAAATTTGCATAAAATGTATACCTCATGTATAAGGTTACATTGGTTCAATGTTTCTAATACTTACAAAACAGATACTTTAAGCAAATTATGAATCAAATTATGAATCAAATTACCACATATAACTGATTTTAAAAAGACAAAGGGAATGCGTGACTAAACAATATTATTTGAGATATGTTTATGAAAACTGTAGAATGATAAATGACCAAAAAAGATGACATATGTAAATTGTATAAATTGTTTGCGTAAGTCAAAGATGTAGAACATAAGCCAAAACGAGAAACATCACAGTATCTTTGTTATCATTATAGTAAATAAAAGTTTGAAAGTGAAGTGGACAGTTAGAAGTTTCGGTTCAACATAACTTCTGACACCAATTTCACAAAAGCCACAAGCAGCTACTTAAAGGCTAAATTTGATGTTTCTAAAGGTAATACTAGTTGTATGAAATCTCCAGAGGTGAGCTGATCGATTCAGCAGAGGATGAGTTGAATGAAAAGTTTTCAATTGAAAATACAGAAACTCAAGGTTGCCTGAGCAACCGAATGTAAGAATAATACACCAAGCTGCTTTGGACAAGCTTGAAAATTAGGACACTTACAGTTAAAATTGAGAAAATTGCTTTTGCAGACTTCATGATGAAATCAGGGGCAAAAATAAATAACGTCCTTCACAGAAGCCAAAGGAATTATTAGACCAAAAGGAATGTCATTCTGGGCACTTTCACAAAACTTGAAATCCCATGCACAGTGAAAGCATGCAACTTTATTAACAAGCATGTATTATTATTCAAACAGTCATTGTGTGGTAAACTGTGACATACTTTTATTTACAACAACCTTTTTTTAAGATCTACAGTCTAAAATGACATTGTGTAAAACTGTTTGAGGATGCCACATTTTATAACCTGTCTTCAACTATGTGGAATGAGTTACAGTATTCAAAGAGAAAGCTACAAAGATATCATCAACCAGATCAGTGGTTTGTGTTGCTGTGAAGACAGATATGACGTGAATTATGAGTGTCAGTTTATCTTCACCGCAGGGCATAAAGAATGTACTTCAAAATGTGATACAAATATTGTTGCCTTAAGTATACATATATATTTACCTATTTAAAACTGCTGTTTTTACCACTGATTAAGTCTCAAGAGAGCACAGAACAATCAGTCACTCTGAACACAAATGAAAATTTGAATGCACAGAACAAGGTTTAGTGAAACAAAAACAAAATGTTGTCAATTTTTTTTTAAGTGAGCTTGTAACACTCCAAAGAGAAAGGAAAAATTGAAATCACATCATATGACCACTTTAACTGAAATGGAAAAGTATAAAATGTTTTTACAATCTATACATCAATAAATATCTGGAGAGAAAAAAACACTGCCCCAACAACCACTGAACTCACTGCCAGTTAATCAACAAATACTCACATGCATCTTGTCTGAAATATTCATTAAAAAGCTTTTAGTTCCATCTAAACATTTGTACTCTATTTGGAGGAAGGCAATATATTATACAAGTTCAAAGGAACAAAAAGTGTGTCTGTTTTACAAAGTGATCACCGGCAAGCTTTTAGCTTTGCTAATTTCCAGTTCCTGTAACTTTGTGACCTCACAAAACAAGCAGGAAAAGACTCAGTTACAGTAACATGTAATTGATAATATAATATTTTGTCAATATTATTACTGAAAGGTTTTTGTGAGTATGATCTGTAATTATTACAAAAAAAGAAAAAGGTATCATGCTAAAAATTATTTATACATTTCCTTCATTCAGATCAGTGATAGGTCACAGCGGTTAATTCTCATAGGATTTCTGCATCAACCCCTGCATTACATTTTGTCTAATCTTTGAAATTACTTGAAAACCCCTCTAATTCGCTCCCCAGGGGACGAACAGCAAGGGCTACTGCACTTTCTCATCACAATCTCTCTGAAGTTGTACGATGTGGCCTATGGCCATTTAACTTACTCCATATCCTTGCCTTATTGCAAGCATGTGCTCAAATACTTACACAAGTTTGTGCGACAATCACCAAGTCACAATCCACCAGGAGATCGCGGCGCACTGGCAAGCACTTGTTGTTTCTGTATCTGATGACCCTTTATGATACAGCATGCAAACACTTTCCCTCAAAAGGGCAATAATAATTCCGGAATGGCTCTGTTTGAAACTTTTCCTGATTATACATAGCTGAAAGCCCAGTTAATGCCTTTAATTGTGCTCACAATGGACAGAACCTACAGAGACATAAATCAATTCTAGAAGGAAATAATTCTGCCGAATTTCTCGAAGGAAGAGCAACAATTGAACAGTGTTCTTGTACATAATAACATCTGCAGAGTTCTTCAAAATATGATAAAAACAGCCCCCTGTGGTTGATTTTACTATGTTTTTCATGTGTCAAGGCGGGAGGATATTAGATTTAATACCACACATTTTCATAGTATAGCCAAGGGTCCGAGGGATTATACACTTCTAGGCTCCAACAAGGGTGAACACAGAGGTTGGCGAGAGGTCTGAGCAGCAGACAAAGCAATGCACAGCCAGATTCTTTTGGAGTGACTCAGGCTCTGATGGAGGCTCCCCATCCTCCAACCACGTGAAATCCCTCTTTCAGATGGCTGGTGTTCTTTTTGATCACAGATATTCACAAGACAATAGACACTAGACTATTTCATGTGGTGAAGTGACCAATAGAATATAATTTCTCTGGGGGCTAACGAGGCGTGACGGGGACCTGTTTTTGCTTTCCCTCCACACTTTATGCAAAGAAAATAATGTTGAGGAAGCCATGTTGAAGTAAGAAATTATTTTCTATTATTAATTTATTCATTTGATAGTACTTAATTACTAGCGGTAAGACAGAATACAGTCTTAAGATATCATGACTCAAAATCACAGAGGTCACATCCAACAGTGAGGCTCTAGGTGATTAACCACTTAACCACTTTGACTAGACTAAGTAACAGTGGTCTTATTTGATTTTTGAAACTTTATCTGAGGCACTTTTAACTAATTAGAATCAGAAACAGGCAAGAATTTTATTTTAAAGTCACATTTGCCTGTGTGAGTGTATATGATGTAACACAGTAACACTTCACAAAAAGGTTAAATTTGTTAACACTGGTTTATACGTTAGGTATCACAAACCAGCAATGAACAATTTTACAGCAATTATTTACTACTGTTCAAATATTTGGGGTTGGTAAGATTTTTTAAAATGTTTTTGTGCTCACCAAGGCTGCATTTATTTGACCAAAATACAGTAAAAATAGCAATACTTTTAAACATTACAATTTACAGTTTTACATTTTTTAATGCTATTTATTCCTGTGATTACTTTTTAAAAGCCATTATTCCAGTCTTCAGTGTCACATGATCTTTCTAAAATAATTGGTGCTCAAGAAACATTTCTTACTATCAGTGTTGTGCTGCTTAATACTTTTGTGGAAACCAGGATACATTTTTTTCAGGGTTTTTTGATGAATAGAAAGCGAAGAAGTACAGGTTTTTTGTAACGTATGCCATTATGCCATTTCTGTCACTTTTGATCAATTCAATGCATCCTTCCTAAATAAAAATAACAACTTCTTTCAAAAAAGAAAGTTTTACTGACCCCAAAAAATTTGAATAGCAGTGTGGATTATTGTTAATGTATTAAATATATTAATATTAATATATCATTGTTCATTGTTAATTAATATATGTTCATAATAAATTATCTAATGTTCATTTTTTTTTCATTAAAAATGCTTTTAGCTTATGAACATTAACCTAGAATAATAAATGATTAATAAAGCACATTTTAATAGTCAGTTACTGATACCTAATGAATGTCAAAAAATTTACCATTTTGTCAAATTTTGTTAAAATATGGTAATTTTGATACAGAGCAGAACAGCCAGAATGTGGCCCAAAGTGGTAA